TGATAACACCAAGGCCCTGGGTTCGGATCCCATATAGGGATGGCCGGTTCGCTCACTGGCTGAGCGTGGTGCTGACAACACCAAGCCAAGGGTTAAGATCCCCTTACCAGTCATCTTTAAAAAAAAAAAAAAAAAAAGAAACTTCTGTGCATCAAAGTATGCTATCAAAAAAGACAACCCACAGACTGGGAGAAAATATTTACCAACCATATATCTGATAAGGAATTAATATCCAGAATATATAAAGAACACTTAAAACTCAACAACAAAAACCCAAACAATGCAATTGAAAAATGAACAAAGGACTTGAACAGATATTTCTCTAAAGAAGATATACAAAAGTTCAAAAGCCACATAGAGGGCCGGCCCGGTGGCGCACTGCGCTGGTGCGCCGCTTGGGAAGCGCGGAGGCGCTCCCGCCGAGGGTTCGGATCCCACATACAGACCGGTTCCCGCTCACTGGCTGAGCGAGGCGCGGAGGCAACGCTGAGGGTTGCGATCCCGTTGCCAGTCCCGGTCCGGTACGGGGGTGACACTGAGGGTTGCGATCCGTTGCCGGACACGGAAAAAAAAAAAAAAAAAAAAAAAAAAAAAAAAAAGCCACATAGAAATATGCTCAACATCATCGGTCATTAGGGAACTGTAAATCAAAACCACAGTGAGATACCTTACACAAATGCCTATTACCAAAAATACAGAAAATAATAAATGTTGGTGAGGATGTAGAGAATTGGAACCCTCATGCATTGCTGGTGGGAATATAAAATGGTACAGCCCCTGTGGAAAACAGTTTGACAATCCCTCAAAATGTTAAATATAGAATTATTATATGACCCAGAAATTCTACTTCTAGGTATATGCCCAAGAGAAATGAAAACATATGTCCACACAGAAACTTATGTTGTATATATCCACACAACAGAATATTATAAAAAAGAATGAACTTTTGACACATGCTACAATATGTATCAACCTTGAAAACATTATGCTAAGTGAAAGAAGCCAGAGAAATATTGTATGATTTCACTCATGGGAGGTACCTACAGTAGGCAAATTCATAGAGACAGAAAGTAGAATAGAGGTTACCAGGGGTTTGGCAAGGAAGAGAGATGTGGAGTTATTGTTTAATGGGTACAGAGTTTCTGTTTGGGATAATAAAAAATTTCTGGAAATGGATACTGGTGACGGTTGCACAACATTGCAAATGTACTTAATGCCACTGAATTATACAATTTAAAATGGTGAATTTTGTGTTATGTACATTTTTACCACCAAAAAACTACACTGAAATACCCTTCCTCGTCTGTTGCATTAGCAAAAATTCACAAGTACAGCACCTGGCTCTGTGGGTGAGGCTGTGGGCAAGAAAGCACTCATATTTTGCTAGTGGGAATGCAAATTGGTACAACTCTTTCTGAGAGGAATTTGGCATTATTAACAAAACTGCATTTGTTTTTACCTATGCCCCAGCAATCCCACTTCTAGGAATTTATCCTGAAGATACACCCTCAACAACACAAGATTACATGTACACTTGGTTACCTACTGAAGCTTTGTTTGTAATTATAAAATATCATAAACAACTTAAATGCTCCTACATAGAAGAGTGGCTGAATACATAGTACTGCATTCACACATCTCTATGAACTGATGTGACTGATTTCCAGGATACATTACTAAGTGCAAAAAGTAAAGTGTGAGAGTGTGTCTACAGTATGCTACTTTTGTGTAAGAGAGGGAATTAAGAAAATATTCATTTACTTCCTCATTTGAACAAAAAGAAACCTAGGAAAGAAAAACCAGAGATGACAGAGAGTGGTTACCAAAAGGGAGTGGACAGGAATTGCAGAGACCAGGGTAGGGAAGAAGACCCTTCTCTGTACAGAGACCCTTTTTGTACAGACCTGACTTTTGGAACCATGTTATTGTTTCATATATTTGAAAAAATGAAATAAGTAAAACTTATAATGATGCGAGGAATTCTACAATTTAATACAAACAGAAATAAATGAATGAAAGTATATTTCACATGAATAACATAAACACACTCAAAGGTTAAGAAAAAATAAAACCAGCTAACTGGGGCCGGCCCCGTGGCTCACTCGGGAGAGTGTGGCACTGGTAGCGCCGAAGCCGTGGGTTCGGATCCTATATGGGGATGGCCAGCGCGTTCACTGGCTGAGTGTGATGCGGACGACACCGAGACGAGGGTTGCAATCCCCTTACCGGTCAAAAAAAACCAAAACAAAACAAAAAAACCAGCTAACTGAAATAAAACTCGAATACAGTATTTAGAATATATGCTCTCAGGGCTGGCCTGTGGCTCACGTGGGAGAGTGTGGTGCTGACAACACTAAGTCAAGAGTTAAGATACCCTTACTGGTCATCTTTAAAAAAAAAAAAAAAAAAGACTATAAGCCCTCAGGTAAAGACAAAAAGAACTCTGAACAAATACTGTGGTGCATCCCCTCCCAAGATGAACAATTCTGAAGCCACTTTTTGTAATTCTAGTATTGAGCAAATAAGTAAATATATTAAGGAAATGAAAGCCAACTTTCTCACAATTGGAGAAGAGAGTTACAAAATATGGAGAGGGGAAAGGACAGAACAAACCCTGCAGCATTAGATTCGAATTGGAGATATCAGTGTGACTTCACAGATATATATATCTCTGCCATTTCCCAGCTCTATACTTCAGGACAGCCTAGAAATAATGACACCACAGTAACTATAAGTACACCTAGTGTCCAGATCTTGGCTTTTAAATATATTTTCCACCACATACTTTAGAAAAACCCAAAACTAGGGCCGGCCCGGTGGCGCACTGGAGAGTGTACCACTTGGGAGTGCGGCGGCGCTCCCGCTGAGGGTTCGGATCCCATGTGGAGACCGGTTCCCGCTCACTGGCTGAGCGTGAAGTGGGTGCGATACCGAGGGTTGCAATCCCGTTACCGGTCAGTAAAAAAGACAAAAAGGAAAAAAAAAAAAAAAAAGAAAAACCCAAAACTATAAAGGGTGGGCCGGCCCGTGGCTTACTCGGTAGAGTGCGGTGCTGATAACACCGAGGCCCCGGTTCGGATCCCACATAGGGATGGCCGGTTCGCTCACTGGCTGAGCGTGGTGCTGACAACACCAAGTCAAGGGTTAAGATCCCCTTACCGGTCATCTTTTAGAAAAAAAAAAAAAAAAAAAGACAAAACTATAAAGGGTAAATTAGAAATTTTACAGCATAGAAGTCTGGTTGACCCTGTGTGGAATAAACACAAACTTAGTTCAGCTTCTCCCACTACACACGCACAACACCCTTCTGACCCCAGATGTGTGGGGGTTTCTTCCCACACCCTAAGCAAGAGACCAGTCCTGCAGTGGACACCAGCGGGGTATCTTCCAATTCAACTCTGACACTATCTACCTGAACATAGCATCAGATCCCACAGGTTGAGGGCTTAGTCCCCAAGACTGTTCCCCACTTCCAATGCCAATCGCAAGTCCCAGGTTGTTTTACCTGTTTCTGACCGACCTGCTATAAATCAGAGTGCCCATGACCCCCTCCTTGGGTTTGATTAATTTGCTAGAGTAGCTCACAGAACTCAGGGAAACACTTACTTACATTTACTGGTTTATTATAAAGAATATTACTAAAGATACCAATGAAGAGATGCATAGGCCAAGGTACGGAAGAATGAGTGTGGAGCTTCTATGCCCTCCCCAGGTGAGCCACCCTCCAAGAATTTCCATTTAATCAGCTCTTTGGAAGCTCCCCAAACCCTGTGCTCTTGGGTTTTTAATGAAGGCTTCATATGTAGGCATGACTCAAACATAGACAACTATGTAAAAATGAAACTGGACAAAAAGGGTATGATGTAATAACACCAAGGTCAAAGATTCAGATCCTCACACTGGCCACTGCCAAAAAAAAAAGGCTATGATCTTATTCTAACAGACTGAGTGGGGAAAGCCAGCAAGGCCTATTTGTTTAGATTCGTCTTCGTCTCTATGTGCAGCATTCCCTCCTCCTGGGTATGGAGCAGGACCTCCTGGAATGGGGGTCTTATGATCTACAATCACACAAAGTAGGTCAGAGAATTTATGGCCAGCTCCAAGATAGAGAGGCAGCGGAAAGTTAGAGTCCTGCCTTGGGGATCCAGGAACTGTGGATGAAAATCAACATATATATATATATATATCATAATGTCACAGACCCTTTTTTTTTTTTTTTAAAGATGACCGGTAAGGGGATCTTAACCCTTGACTTGGTGTTGTCGGCACCATGCTCACCCAGTGAGCTAACCGGCCATCCCTATATGGGATCTGAACCCATGGCCTTGGTGTTATCAGCACCGCACTCTCCCAAGTGAGCCACGGGCCGGCCCCACAGACCCTTTCTTAACCAAATGATCAAAGTCAGCATTGGCAGCAACGGCACTATTGGGCAGCATGTGGCCTCTTCACATGATGCACTGAGAACGCAGCTTTACTTCCCTGGTCAAAGTGCATCACCTGAATCTAATCATGAGGAGATATGAGACAAACCCAAATTGAGGGACATTCTGAAAAATAAATGGCTTGTATTCTTCAAAATGTCAATGTCATGAATTACAAAGAAAGAGTCAGGAACTGTTCCACATTAAAGGAGCCTAAAAAGACATGACAACCAAATGCAATGCATATGTGATCTTTAATTTCCTTTGCTATAAAGTATGTTACTGGAACAGTTGATAACATTTCAATAAAATCTGTCGATTACAGTATTGTTTCAGTGCTACTTTCCTTATTTTGAAAATTGCGCTGTAGAACTAAACTAACACCCACCCCAAGGGATTGTCATGAGCATTGAATGTTTTGATTCACATACAGAATTTAGCATAAAATACTCAATTAACACAGGGAATTTGGTTACAGGACAGCACCTCACTGGATGTGGTGGGGTCTTTAAAGAAACCACCACCCTTCACCCTCAGAAATATCAGCTCAAGCCCAGAAAGACAAAAAGGCTCTACCACGTTACTGTAGAGGTGCAGGAGTTCAAGGACAGCCTTAGCACCAGCCCCTGGCGCTGGAACCGCAAGGCAGAGCTCCTCCTCAAGACGGCATCTGAGACTGGTATATCCTTCCACGAGCATGTTAAAAAGAAAACTTAATATCAAATATAATTCCTCCAATTCAAACACACAGCAGTCCGCTCAGTGGTGCTGTGTCCGGGGTAAGGAAGCAAGGCCTCGGGAGATGAACAGGACGCTTAAGGCCAAGGTCCACAGCCAGCGGCCAGACCAGATTTAAACTCGGGTGTGAGAAGTTCACCTTCTTACAACGCTGCTCTGAGGACGACTGGCTGATGCTCAAGCCCAGAAACGTTTTTTCCCAGAACGAGAAAAAACTAACAGGAAACATGATACCAAGAAGTGAAACATTTTAGAGGGCTTAAAACGTTTTTCTCCTGCCCTCCTGTGTATGCACCTTCGTGTAACACTTTGCGGGTTCTGTAGAAGAAAATCTCATCCCTGCCTGGTCGCCTCACCCAAAGATATCAGAAAACTATGCCCCGGGCCGAGCCTTCCCGACCAGCCCGGTCTTCAGCCGAGCTGCGAACACCACGAGCGCTGGTCTGGCCTTTGCTTCTGGCCCTGGGCCTGAGGGTGGACTCAGCGGCTCCAGGGCTGCCCGCTGGCAGGGGTCTGAGGCGGCTGCTCCCGCCTACGTTAGGCCTAGTGCTGCACGGCCACGGTCACATGGAAGCAGCGGGGTCGCCGGGTTCGAGCCATCGCCTCCCAACATGGGGAGACAAAATGGTTGCCGTGCCTCAGGGCCGAAGCTACATCCGGGTTCCGCGCCACGCTTGAACGACAACTCCCAGAATGCGCTGTGTCGAAGGCGGGAGGCCGAGATGCGCTCGGGCGTCTCTCGATGTGACGTTGAGCCTTGTGCCCCTCCCCCCAGCGGAAGGCCTGCAGAATACGTTGTGGGTTTGGTTCGCTCCCCCGCCTTTCTTCGCACTGGCCGACGGGACTCGTAGTTCTTCGGCAAGTGAGCTGAGCCTCCCTTGCAGTTTAAGAAACTATACTTCTTAAGCTGTGACTTTGGCGCCTGCGCGCAAGACCGCGGGGCGTACTACGGTTCCCGGCGGGCCTTGCGAGGTGAGCGGTTGCGTGCTGACGCCCTCAGTCGTGCTGACGTATAGCGCGGCCCAGGCGGGGTGCGAGTGGCGCAGTCGGAGCCCGCTGCGGCCCCTGAGGAAGCGAGGAGGCGTCGGCGTCGGCTGAGGCGGGCCGGCGAGGCGAGGCGGCGGCTCCAGACCCCGAGGAACGCAGGAGCTCGAGCAGCTGTAGCGGCAGGACCTCTCCCCCTCGGCGGCGGCGGCGGCGGGCGGAG